TAAACAGCCCAAACACTTTGATGTTGAACACTCGGCTCGAACTTTGAATTTCTGAACACGCAGCCCATTGTTGAGGTGAACACACAGCCCACTGATTTTGAAATCTGAACACACAGCCCAAGTTGAAGGATGTTGAACACTCGGCTCGAACTTTGAATTTCTGAACACGCAGCCCATTGTTGAGGTGAACACACAGCCCACTGATTTTGAAATCTGAACACACAGCCCAAACACTTTGATGTTGAACACTCGGCTCGAACTTTGAGGTGAACACACAGCCCACTAATTTTGAAATTTGAACACATAGCCCAAACATTTTGAATTCTGAACACACGACTCATTGCTGACGTGAACACATAGTCCATATTGATTGAGAGTTGAACACGCAGCCCGAACACTTGAATTCTGATTTGATTTTGCATATAGCTTATACATTTCAATTGCACGCAGCTTGTTTATTTCATTCTAAAACTGAATATATGTATACACCGTGAATGCAGGTGTCCTCCCGTGTTACACGGGGATACGGCTCCATTGTTGCGAGAGATTGGTACGCGGAGCTCCCAGAGGCCGTCTGCGATTGGGTTGATCTAGCAGGATTCGGGCCCTTTTGTGCCGGGATAGCTCGTTATCCAGCTAGCAAGATGTTGATGGGCGCCCTGGTGGAGAGGTGGTGGGACACCACCAACTCCTTTCATTTCTCATCTGTCGGGGATATGACCATGACCCCATTCAACTTTGCCGTATTAACCAGCCTTGACGTGGGAGGCTAGGCGATCCCATATGACGAGGACATGGGCCAGTGGGAGGCTGCTTGGATCTACTTACAGGGAGCTCGTCCACCGGTCGACCGATCCTCGAGCCGAGTCCGGTACACTTGGTTTTCTTCACATTTTAGGCATACTGAGCCCGAGACTCTGGAGGAGATTACACAGTACGCCTGCGGGTTTCTGATGTTCCTCTTCGGGACCACTCTGTTCTCCGACAGAGGGAACACCGTTAGGCTATATCTGCTGGGTGCCCTGGCAGACCTCACACAAGTTAGTCGGTATGATTGGGGTGGTGCCAGCTTGGCTACCCTTTATTGCTATATTAGCGCGACCTCCCACGGACGGGGGAACATAGTTGGCAGCTACTGGAGAGCCTGGGAGGTACCTTCTACCCTCTTGATTTACATTTCTGCTTTTCAATGTATGCATATTGCACACACGGCACACTTTATACTCTGTCCTGACATCCTGCACTCAGCATTCTGTATTCTGATGGCTTTTGCCCCGTTTTCCGCAGTTATGGGTTTTCGCATATTTTCCCATACTAGTGCCAGAGTTGGAGGTGGAGGTGCCCCTTATGACCCCTTACTCACTTGTTTTCGAGGGCCAGTACCGGCCGCGCCTCGGGAGAATCTTCTCTACCTACGGCAGTACTTCGACACGATGCGGCCGTCAGAGGTAATCCAAAACTTCCAATTCCTAATGTTTTCATCTTTGGTTTATTCCGTACATATACGATTTCTGATCAGCCTATGCATTGGTTACCCGCAGATTACCTGGCAGCCCTGGTTGCCTTTGGGTGGGGACCTTCGATTTCAGTTTGCCGGAGGATGGACCTCTTCCCGGTATAGGATCTTGTTCGAGGGGCCAGTTGGTAGGGCCTGGTTCCTGGGGGAATGCTTCCTTCGTCAGACTATGGGCTTTCCTGAGCCGAGTGTTCCCTCAGCACCTCCGGACGGTATGCGGCTCGCTGATAGGCTTACTCTCCAGGGTGTCATTGATGCTAGGCTGGGCACTGATGCACTACTGTATATAGAGGACAGGGAGTACGCGACCTACCGTCACACCTACTTGATGCCTCCGTTGACAGGTCTCCGTACTCCCTCGAGGAGGTCTACTGACATGCCGTCTTTGAGTCGAGCTCGGGCTGCAGGCGCCCCTTCTACTAGCAGGGCTGGCACATCGAGAGGAGGGGTTGGACTGGTCCCCCCGATTCCTCCGACTCATCATCATGCCGGATGGCCAGACATGCCGACCGAGTTGATAGGATGGCGATACGGGACCTCCTACCCGATTCCGATAGAGCCTCTCATGCCTGATCATCGATATGTCATTGATCCCGACTCACCGCCGGTATGCCCCACTGTTTTTCATCTATCATTCAAATACTTAGACATTCCTTTATTCATTGATGATTTGAGCTTGTATCTGCAGCCACCCAGAGAGTACATAGAGGGGGTGATCGGATTGGTGGCCTCACTCGAGGGCATGGTCTTGCGGAGAGAGGCGCAACTGTTCATCATGGGTTTCCAGGTACTCTTTAGTTTTCCCACATTTATCGTACTTCTAACGACATGTTGACCTTGAACATTTTACTGCTTTGATTAATTGTATGTGTAGAGCACATCTGACACACCACATTCATATACTGTGTCTGCATGCACCCTCATTTCATGTAGTTTGCTTGCATCTGTATCTGAGACACACATTTTGAGCTGATGTATTCAAATTGCACTTTTTATTTTCAGATGCCTCCAGTATATCAGCCACAGACCGGGCCATCTCGACCTTCTCGGGGAGCCGGGCCATCTCGGCCATCTCGCGGGGCCGGGAGAGGGGAGTCGTCCCGTAGACGCAGGGCACATATCGTAGAGGAGGAGCCCGATGAGGACGAGGAGGACGAGGAGGATACAGATCGTCAGTCAGAGACCTCCGCTGACAGAGAGAAGGGTTCCGACCCTGGTTCCGGGAGTGGAGAGGAGGCTGAGGAGGATCCTGAGGATGACAGTTTCGACTCAGATGGTGCCGGTGGTGCAGAGCCTGTTCCGCAGAAGATGACGAAGAGGGCCTCTTATTCCTGCTCTTAAGAGCATTGGTGCAGCTGTTTCCTGCTTTATTTATCTTTTTTACTAGTAGTTGTAGCACATTGTACATTATTACGCAGTTTTATTTTCTGTAAAACTTGTACCTTTGCTGTAAAATGTTGTAACAAAGGAAGCATGATGGAATGAAATAGCTTTTTTGAAAAAGTGTTGTACTTTATGTTCTCGGCATCGCATCACATTATTTTGCAAATAATGAGATTGAACGGTAAATGTGCATTGTGTATTTGCCAAGCCAGGTAGCGAACCGACACGACAAACTAAACAACCTAATCTTACTGAGAAAGAACAAAAACCTCAGCAAGTTTACAACTCGATAAGCAAAACACAACAAAATTGATAAACAAAGAGTAACAACTCAAATGCACATGACTCGGCAACTCGATTAAACAAGACTCGGTAAACGAAACAGCTCGACCAACAAAACAACTCGATAAGCAAAACAACAACTCGATAAGCAAGATTTAACAACAACTCTATAAACAAAGTGTATTTTAGATGATTTGGGCGACGAAACGCATCCGAAACAGAGAGAGATGGAGGCTTTTGACACTCCCGATGCACGGAAATGCTAGGAACTTTCTTCTGGAGAGTAAAACAGGGCCAAATACGCAGATTGCAGCATGGCCGGCCACTTTTGGGAGCTGGCCGACCAGCTTTTTGCATTTAAGGGAGGGAGAGGTGGCCGGCCTGCTAGGAAAGGTGGCCGGCAGGCCACTTAGCCCAGCCACCACCAAATTTTCGACACGTGTCCCTCCGAACAGTGCCTTATCCCCTTTAAAAGTCCTAGCTCCGTGGCTCATTCATTTCATCTCAGTTTTGCACCAAAATGGAAGCGTTTCTCGTCGAAAATCTCACAGCTTGGATTGCTTCTTTAGACGGCTCGGAAAAGTTGAACTTCCGGGGCTTTGGTTTGGGGTAGGGGCTACTAGTGATGGTGCTGCTGCTGGGCAAGCTGGTTCTTGTAAGGTTGGTTGGGCCGATAGACGGAGATATACGTTGTTGCCGATCCTGCCCATTTCGAGGAAGAAACCTCCGCGCTAAGGGATATGGGGAGAATGAACCAGGAGATATAGTTGCATGCCCGGCTAATACGGTTAGATAGACTAGCTGCCCCCGTTCCAACTATGGGACTGAATCTGGACATTGAGAATGGGTCGACCTATAGAGACTGTCATCCTATCCGGATTGATTGACCGGCCCTCCCACCGGCTATCGAACTCAACCCGGGCATCCCTCCCTTCCCTTTCTTTAGTACATCTTCCCACCCTTGCGGAAATGGATGGCCTTCAAGCCTCTATCTTTGATTAAGAGGGAGAGTTTGCTAAATCAAATCTGGAAACCTCGACTCTCGTCCTATGTAGGGTATCACATTCAAAGGCTCAACAAGTAAAACTATCAGCAAAGATAGGTCAACCAAGCAAGAGAGCATAACGAGATAAAAGTATGGAGGCTTTCCAACAGTAAAGTAGTAAAGTAAGATAATGGGCTTGTTCCCAGCTATTCAATCTAAGCAGACAAAGAGCTGACGAGTCAACGGCGGGAAAGCCCTTTCTGGTAGACCTTTCATACACGCCTACTTTAGAAGTCACTTCCGGTGCCAATACCGTTGGCTTCAAATCGATCTTTTAGCAATCCACTCCATCTTTGGCAGAGGTAACCAGGTCAACCAGCTGGAGTTTCTTTCCATTCAAAGTACAATCACCACCTCTTCCTGTAACGAAGGTGCCTTCATTTTCTATTCCAGTAGGGCTGCTTGAAGTCTTAGATTCTGCTTTTTCGGGTGGTTGTTCCTAGGCCGGGTTTAAGCCCCGATAGCGAGTTTGATTAAACTATTGGGAGGGATGACGCTCAAGGGGTCAAACGAAAGAAGTTGATAAAGGAAAATGGCAATTTACTCGATATTCGTTCCATCTTCTAGGGCTGACTTGGGATTGAATCCAAAACCAAAGGAATTGGAGGAACCGAAGCAACCCGCTAAATCCCAAAAAGGGAGAAAGTCACTCGCATTGCCAAAGTAAACTCCAGTTGGAAAGCCAGGATTAGAAGCAGTTCCAACACCAGCTTTGGGTCAACAAGACAAGCCAAGACCCGTACGCCCGGTTGTTGTCTCAGATTCATTCTGCAGATGCGGGATGGGAACTCGAATCCTTTTGAAAAACAGGTGTACGCTATCCTTACCTTTCAACCAACCCCTACGATTCCGCTTCTGAAGCAGTATATAATCTCGGTCCCTTACCTTGATGCCTACAGCTCAAATTGTTTTCCAGTGATGGCAAGAATCCGCAAAATACTGCTTTTTCTTTTTCTTCTTCTTGTGTTGTTTCTGAATGGCATCATAGCTACACGAGGGAAAGCGATGCTGCCCACTCTGCCGCAAAAGGGGGCCGCTTTCTTCCCCCCCAAAATGCCCGTTCCACCATCAGGGCCCAGCAAGCAGCATAATTATGTTCCGAGGCTGCGTTTCATTCCAGCAACAGTAGTCTATGGTTCGCCTTGTTCCATCCGGCGCGAATCCCCTCCATCACTAGTATGGTGGAGGTGTTATTTGTATTGCAATAATTAAAAAATGTACGAACACAAATAATGAGCAGACCAGCCCACTTTTATATGTGGGTTATTTTCATAATGTATTTTTGTTTTGAATAAAGAAGCGCGCTCCTGTTAGTGTAACGTAGCGCTTCCCACCGCTACTCTTATTCTTCCGTCACTCCGGGAATCAACTCCCAGCCAAGAAGTGAAGAGTGAGACTCCTGTCCTTTCCCTTTCTAATCTAAGAGCTTCTTCCCTCTCTTTAAGTTCCCAACCCGCATGAGAAAGCTTCTATTCTTTTCGTGTCATGACTCGATTGAAGCCCTTCTTTCTTTGTAGCTATTCAAAGGGTATTAAATCAGGAGGTTCAGAAGCAGAAGGTAGGACTAGTCTGGGTATGAATCAAATCCTTTCCTAGGGTGAGTCCTTATGTAAGTAGAAGGCAGCCATCTAAGAGATGTTACTAGTCTGTATGCAAAGCCTCCTAGTCCCATCCCCTTCTGTAATAGGAACTCCCTGCGGGCGCTATCCTATAAGCAGACGCAACTAGAAGACATTATTGTCTTTATCTAAGTTAGAGGCTTTTATATAGCTTAAACCCTTTCCTTTTCCCAGGTATTCAAAATAATCTTTCTAAAGTGCGGATGAGAGAACCAGACAGCTTCACACCTGAAGGGACGATTAGAGGGTTTAGCAGAATGAATACCTTCCATGTAAATGATCATAGGATAGTAGTCTGAGGTGGTACGAGGGATGTTTCCAAGCACAGCTTATGGTAAAATCTCTTTCAACTTCTACTTTACTAAACTAAGGCTAGATCCAATCGAAGCAGCGTCTTAGCTAACCCTTCCCTACCATTGGTCCAAGTGGTCTAGGACTACAGCATGCCAAATCCATTAGACCACAACGATGAAATTTGATGCAAACTTCTCAGCTCTCCTACGATTAGACGTAGTGTCGTTTCTGAAACTCCTTCTATCTTCCAACCTAAAGAAATCATGGAAATCCCCTGCTAGCATCGATGGGTACTGGTCATATTGTTCAGCCATTCTATTGATATTCTTCCCTTTATAACTGGACTCGATCTTTACCGGACTAATGAGATCTCAATTCAACATTGAGCCTTTCCTTTCTTGTTTCTCCTTTCTATGTAGATGGATTGATTGCGGGTTTCTCCAACTCGATTCTCAGTTTCTCCTTTTCCTTTGGCTTTCAACACTAGAAAAGTTCGCGGAAAGAAAGAATTGGTATTTCAAAAAAGGGAGTATGGAAGACTTCTATGAGACTTTGATTTAATAGCTCCGGCCAGAGAATAGATTGTTGCATTGAGCAGGGCAGACGGATCTGCTTCGTTGCGGCCCGAAGCTCATCTCCTGCTCTTAGCCGAACTATCCGAATTCTCTGTCATTTTCTGTAATATTAAGTGTTTTAAGATGTTGTAATAAATGTTCTAGTTGAAAGAAATTCCACCTCCTCTCATCCCTTAGCTCTTTGATGAACTCTTCGAGAGTATAGGCGTAGGCTCATGACTCTTGAAAGTGAATATCGCTCGCAAGGGCCGCCCTGATAGTGGAACCCTTCAACGGAAAATTTCGTATGCTAGCTCCAATGAGTAGCAAAACGCCTTGTTCCATCCGGCGCGAATCCCCTCCATCACTAGTATGGTGGAGGTGTTATTTGTATTGCAATAATGAAAAAATGTACGAACACAAATAATGAGCAGACCAGTCCACTTTTATATGTGGGTTATTTTCATAATGTATTTTTGTTTTGAATAAAGAAGCGCGCTCCTGTTAGTGTAACGTAGCACTTCCCACCGCTACTCTTATTCTTCCGTCACTCCGGGAATCAACTCCCAGCCAAGAAGTGAAGAGTGAGACTCTTGTCCTTTCCCTTTCTAATCTAAGAGCTTCTTCCCTCTCTTTAAGTTCCCAACCCGCATGAGAAAGCTTCTATTCTTTTCGTGTCATGACTCGATTGAAGCCCTTCTTTCTTTATAGCTATTCAAAGGGTATTAAATCAGGAGGTTCAGAAGCAGAAGGTAGGACTAGTCTGGGTATGAATCAAATCCTTTCCTAGGGTGAGTCCTTATGTAAGTAGAAGGCAGCCATCTAAGAGATGTTACTAGTCTGTATGCAAAGCCTCCTAGTCCCATCCCCTTCTGTAATAGGAACTCCCTGCGGGCGCTATCCTATAAGCAGACGCAACTAGAAGACATTATTGTCTTTATCTAAGTTAGAGGCTTTTATATAGCTTAAACCCTTTCCTTTTCCCAGGTATTCAAAATAATCTTTCTAAAGTGCGGATGAGAGAACCAGACAGCTTCACACCTGAAGGGACGATTAGAGGGTTTAGCAGAATGAATACCTTCTATGTAAATGATCATAGGATAGTAGTCTGGGGTGGTACGAGGGATGTTTCCAAGCACAGCTTATGGTAAAATCTCTTTCAACTTCTACTTTACTAAACTAAGGCTAGATCCAATCGAAGCAGCGTCTTAGCTAACCCTTCCCTACCATTGGTCCAAGTGGTCTAGGACTACAACATGCCAAATCCATTAGACCACAACGATGAAATTTGATGCAAACTTCTCAGCTCTCCTACTATTAGACATAGTGTCGTTTCTGAAACTCCTTCTATCTTCCAACCTGAAGAAATCATGGAAATCCCCTGCTAGCATCGATGGGTACTGGTCATATTGTTCAGCCATTCTATTGATATTCTTCCCTTTATAACTGGACTCGATCTTCACCGGACTAATGAGATCTCAATTCAACATTGAGCCTTTCCTTTCTTGTTTCTCCTTTCTATGTAGATGGATTGATTGCGGGTTTCTCCAACTCGATTCTCAGTTTCTCCTTTTCCTTTGGCTTTCAACACTAGAAAAGTTCGCGGAAAGAAAGAATTGGTATTTCAAAAAAGGGAGTATGGAAGACTTCTATGAGACTTTGATTTAATAGCTCCGGCCAGAGAATAGATTGTTGCATTGAGCAGGGCAGACGGATCTGCTTCGTTGCGGCCCGAAGCTCATCTCCTGCTCTTAGCCGAACTATCCGAATTCTCTGTCATTTTCTGTAATATTAAGTGTTTTAAGATGTTGTAATAAATGTTCTAGTTGAAAGAAATTCCACCTCCTCTCATCCCTTAGCTCTTTGATGAACTCTTCGAGAGTATAGGCGTAGGCTCATGACTCTTGAAAGTGAATATGGCTCGCAAGGGCCGCCCTGATAGTGGAACCCTTCAACGGAAAATTTCGTATGCTAGCTCCAATGAGTAGTAGAGGAAAGCTCGGCCTCAGCACGTCCTACTTGTGTCGTCTTTTAAGCTTGCTATGCATCCTTGTTCCATCTACCATTCCTGACAATCCATTTCTGGTATGCCCGCTGCTTCGTCCACAATTACTGAAAATCCATCCTATCTTTATTGGGCCCCCTTGGACTTTACTATTTTTTTATCTGTTTAAGGAATTATTCCCTGGGCTTTCAATGGGCCCACGCCTTCTCGATACTACCCTCTAAGAAGAGATGCGCAAGACTGGGATAAGGAAGACCTAAATCTTTCTATGATGTCATCTTGAGAGAGCAAGTGCGCCAAGCGAGATACCAATTACTACAATATACAGATAGGGGAATAGGACATCCCCGTGATTTCCTTCTATCCCTAGCCCGGCGAATCCCTTGGTTCCTTCTTTTAAAAAGAGTTGTTGCCCCTTTTCTAGTTGTGTACAGTAGTACGATAAGGAAGATTATTAGTGAGGCAGTCTATTAACTCTTACTATTCCTTATCTGTCTTAAGCCCTTCTTTTTACCACATCTGGACCTAGAATCAAAATTTTCTTTGAGACGAGCCTTCTTCCGTAGATGGACACAAAACGATTTCCTTTACTTATTAAGATTATGATTGAATTGTCACTTAAGGTTCTTGTCCACCAGACACATCCTTCCCTTCCCTCTCGGGGTGCTTCTTCTATCCCCCTTGCTCAATCAGAAAAAAAAAAGTAAATTTTCAATCAACTGATGAATGCCGTCAATCCACTTTCTATCAATCGACGACTGCTCCTCTTCCATTCTGAACTAAAGTGTACCATTCATAAAAGGTAGGGTTACAAGGCACTCTGAGGAGGAGATTTGTAAAAAGGATTCCCAATTCATTAGTAGGGGAACACCCTTATTAAATAACTTAGCTCGAACGTCCAGAGTCAGATGCTTAACCCATGCCATCCCCTTCAGCCTTAGAAAGTGTTATCCCATAATCTATCATTCTCAAAAATTCCCCAAAGGGCCCCCGGGCTTGACAAGTTCAGCAAAACCGTAGAGAGAGCGGGCTACCCCTAGCTTAGCCTATCCAATATCCGATTCAAAAAGAGCTTGGATTGCTGCTTTTCCTCTCTCTGTATAAAGTCAGTCAGTCCCAGTGTTGGAAGGAAAGAAGGGAAAAATCTCAATTAGGCAGGTAGCAACGTCCATAGGTAAAGCACACTTCCTTAAGGGCTAAGAGTGACGGTAAGGTCCTCTGCTTACAGTTAGTCAGGAAGATAACTCAAGAAGAGAAGCTTAGAGGCCTTACTCAACTAAAAGCACAGGAAGGAAGGCAAGCTACATCTCAAAGCAAGAAGTATAAGTCCTATTAGGTAGGTACCATTTTGGATGAGGCGGCACTCCTTCAAAAGCGAAGCTAGAGACAAAATCGAATGAAATAGATGGCTGGGCTGGTTGAAGGGTTGCATGAAGGTAAGACCATAGTGAGATATACTTATAGAAGTCTAACTAAAAGGAAAGCGCCTCTCGTTTGAAATTAGAATCGCGTGCGTCTCGCTGTTTCATATAATCCATCTGTAATCATATATGCAATGCAACTAGGGAACAAAGCTAATTGTCAAGCGATTCATGCCACCGTCCAAAAAACAGTCAAATAGTTGGGTATGTTGGGGGTATCGAAAGAAAAGATCAGACTCCATGATGCTATTTTCTGGGCAGGTTGTTCTTCGCTTTCAACTATTCTAAGGCACGCCCACACCCTGGCCTTCCTTCCCTCAATTCACATAGTCAAGGGGCCCTCTATGATCTGAATCTTAAGGACAAGACCCTACCCAAGATATAGACCTAGTGCTTTCGCACAGGAGGATATCCAAGGCAGAGAT